CAGAACACAAGTTCAGGGTCACCCATGAATCAGCATTGATTTGATGGCAACTAATAACAACAATTGTAAATGTCAAATTACATTTAAAAAATGGAGCAAGTAAGAAAGTGACAATTATAATTTCAGATTATTTAAATTTAATTTGATTAAATTATGATCATTTTGAATGGACATGCAAAAAAGGAAGAAGGCAAATAGGTTAGCAACTTTAAAGACCAAAATATATTTAAAAATATTTTATAAATGTACCAGGATTAATGTAAAGGAAAAAGAATAATGTGCTCAGTTAATTTCCTATATTTTTTATTTCTTGGAATTCATACCACACCATTTAAGCAATACTTTTATATCTTTGCTAATAAAAATAGAATCCTGATAAGCACCTGATGGGATCCATTGCTGGCTCAAAATTTCAAACACGGTCAGTGTAAGGAGTAGCCTTTTTAGACTGCCAAGGTATATAGAACTTTGCTATGTCTCAAGTATGCAGATGAAGTTACTTATTGTTTGTTGTTGTATTTTGAAACTGGAGCAAATAAATATATTGAGTAAAACATAGAAAATCACATGAAAAGATTTTTGTCTTCTGTCAAGTGGGATGGGAGGACCATCAGCCTGGATTATACATTAGTGAGAAAAATGGGCTTTCAGTGGATACATTCCTGTCTCCAAAGTTCCAGATAATTCTAACATAAGCTAGACATTTGATAGATATAAAATACAAATTGGATGGGAATATATTGATTATTCTCTGGTTGAAGGGAGGTATTCCAAAATCATAACACGGGGACAAGAAAAATGAACAATCATGTAAAGGAACAAACAGTACAGACCCCTCCCTGGTCATAGCAATTCCAAAATTGGGCAGCAGCAGTCCTAAAAGATTTCCTGCAGTGAACTTGGCACTGATACGTATTTTTTATTCATAGATGGTTAAGTAAAACAAAAATGTCTCTCTAATGCATGAAAAATAAAGACAGCATGGGGAGCTGATAAATAAACAGTGTTGGAAGTTTTTGTAATCGTTCAACATCTCAGCATGAATTGTCACCTTGGAAGATAAGAGGCTACCCATGGCTCCTTCTGCTGTTCATAAATATTGCTCTTGCAGTCAATAGCACATGGCACTATGCTCCCATGGACTGATTGAACTGCTCCCATGATGTTCCCAGTCTCTGCTGGATTAAGAATGAAGCTGAACTCCGATATTCTGCAATGGCAGCACTGTTCATATAAGGCCTTATCATATTATTAAACAATTGAAAGTGAAGGCTAAACTTGCTTTAATTCTGTTCTCCCTATACATCAGCATAGCAGGACAAAATGATGTATGATTACTGCCTTTACTATACAATCATTGTGCCAATATCATGCAGTTCATTCAAAACTTTTGATATCGCCATCTACTGCAAACTTATTTTAAAAGAAATACTAACCATGCAATATCTCTACAAAATATTTATTATTTGAAAAATGACTATAATAGCATCTTAAGAGTTTCTCAATTCTAATTTGACTACTTTTTAGATTTTACTACAAGGCTTTGCCATTTATTCTTTAACTTTCTCACAGCAATTAAGATTTCAAATTAGGTCCAGCATGCTATTCAAGTGACTTAAGAAAATATAAATAGAGGATACATAAAAGCAATTAAAATTTCTAACCAACAGTAGCTTAAAAAAATAATAAAATAAAACATCAAGCACTTAAAAAAATCATAACAGAATTAAATGTAAGTGACAACAGAAATTAAAATCCATATCTTATCACTTTTGGGCAGTCCCATCCAGGGTCTAGTAACATGATGGGGATATGATATTATGCAGTTATACGGTATGATGCACACATGGTGTACAATAATATTGTATCCTGCAAAAGGCACTGTTGAAGGAAAAATCATCAGGTCCAGTACAAGCCAGGAATAAATAAAATGGAGGCTGTTTTGAAAGAAGGTTCTTGTTTATTTAGCTGCCAGAAACTTCAGTGACACAGCATGTTTCAGGAGTGTCTGACAAAACGGAGTTGGGAGTGGGTAGGTTTTTATACCTTCTCGGGCTTTGTATTTGAGGTTGTCCCTGTGCAATGTACTTTGACCTGAGCTTGAGTGTGCCCTTTGGTATTCTCATGGTGGTGGGGTAATTCTATTATGTCCTAAAGGTCATGTCCTGTTTCTCTGAGGGTGTGGCTGAAGGCATTTTGCTTATGAAAAGTGGCCCCAAATCTGCATTTCTAAAGGCTGACCTGCTTGGGGGAAGGAGACTAGGGGATGGTTTCTGCCTAAGATTTTTCTCCATTATTCCTTTGGGGAAATATAATATTCTGCCTTTTTTTTAATATCCCCCAAAATATTTCTTTCTCTAGGAGGGTGGGTGCTGACTTCCAACAGCACATAGATAATTTTGTTCAATTGTTATTCAGAAAAAGCTAGAAACTGCTTATGTAGTTCCTTAAAGGAACAATTATGTACAAGTCAATTGCAATAGAATAAAAACAGCTAATAAAAATACCATAGCTTTAGTGTGATCCTATGCTTATTTGGACTTAATACAAGCTTCACAGTCTTGATTATGAGGGTTGTACTAAAAGTACTATAAACCAGAATCCTATTAACCCAATAACTGTCTGGTTTGGCATAGCAACCAAACAGGACAGATACAGACTTCAATGGATAGTTAGGACTGGAGAAAAAGCAATCGCAACCAGCCTGTCTTCCATTGAGGATTTATATAATGCACGAACAAGAAAGAGGGCTGAGAAAGTATCTAAGGATCCCTCACATCCTGGACATAATCTATTTCAACTTCTCCCTCAGGATGCCAAAACTACTAGATACAAAGATAGTTTTTTCCTCCGTGCCATTACTCTGCTGAACATTTAATTCCCACAGCAGTCTCCTTTCTCATCCTCTCATCTTTCCTACTGTCTTCTCCTATTAGTTTCTTATGGTTTATCAATTGTTTATTATGATTTATGATCTATCACTTGTTTATATGTACACTGTGAGCTTATGCACCAGAGTCAGATTCCTTGTGTCTCCAATCATACTTGGCCAATAAACAATTCTAATCTAATCTAATCTAATCTAATCTAATCAAATCTAATCTAGAATTCTAAATAACATTTATTTTAAAGTAAACACACTTAGGATCAATTGATAAATGCACAAAATTCCTCTGCACTACACTCAAAGTAAACATTCCAAACACAGTAACATGGATGAATTGTATTCTGTGGCAAAATGTGTTTGAATAATACTAAAATACATTTATTATACAAATTGGCATTATATTCTTGTTATATTATGAATGCAGTTTAAAATATTTTCCTTACTGCCTTATTTTTAATAGGAAATTCTTAAAATCAGATGAAATGTTCCTTTTGATTCTGTAGTTGTTTCATTTGAATGGCAACATACATTATTTTACAGATGTTCTAAAATGTTCATTTTGCATGCGAGGTTTTCACAAAGCATGGTGGAGTATAATTAAAGTGTAATTAAGTAATTTTGTTTAGTTTTTGCCTGCATAGGAAAAATCCTGGTTTCTATTATTATTCCCACAGCATTAATAAATTAACAATTTCCTTTTCCAGCACAAATGAATCCATGCCCTGAAGTTATCTTGGTTCTGTTTCTTCTCTTTGATGAAAATTTCTTTTTACCGCCAAATTATTTAACAAACTGATGACAAAGACCCCCCATGAAGTTGTCAGAATTATTTATACAGTAGCTTATTAAATCACAGCACCACATAATTAGTTAACAGAATACATTTTTTGACATATTCTGAAAGCTATTGTACAACTATTTGTACAACCAAAATTTCTATCAAGTCAATTTCTATCATGTTTGGAAAATGTCAGCAAGTTCTTCAAGCTTTCTGAAACCTAAGGAGATATTTTTCATGAAATATGAGCATATCATTTAGTGGCTATACAATTATCAGTTATTACATACATACATACATACATATATACATACATACATACATACATACATATATATATATATATGCATGTGTAGGTAGTTTTAAATAGTTTTAGGATCTCTAGCAATTACTGTATTGCTATTTTGCTAAGGTCACAATGAATAGTAAGTCATGCGTTTATTTTAAATCCACTCTTTTAGGGATTAGTGTTTGCATCTAACAGTAAATTTAACGGGCCATTATTACTTATTTGATAAACTATGGTTTAAAAATCTTGTCTGAATCAAATGAAAATCCTTTATCAGGTATTTTTAACAGAATTGTTAGAACAAAATGTTACATCAGAATTAATATTAGATAACTGGTATTAGTTTGCCCTAATAACGAGAAAATGCATATACATTTTAATAAGAAATCTTTTTCTTGATTTTAATCGATAGCTTGATGCACTAATATGATATAAATACACATTTTAATAAGGCTTGTTTTACAGATGCTGCCAAATGGAAGTTTTGTCTGCTTGAAGACTGCAGCAGGCTTGTAAGTCATGTCAAGACCATCTTCTAAAAGTGGATGGGATTAGGATTATAGATCAGATTTTTAAGTTGTTAAATTCCTATTCCCCCCCCCGCCCCCAAAAGCTGGGATGTAATGGTCAGACCATTGGATTTCATGAAGATTGAAGTTCTATTCCATCCTTGGACCTAAAAACTCAGTAGATGCCATTGGGTTGAGGTGATGTGGAAAATAAGATGGAGAAATATCATATATGCTGCCCTGAGGTCCAGAAGGAAAGGTGTAATATAAATCTAATAAATAATTCATTTAAATCGTATAGCGTATATAACATACTAATCATAAATAACAGCACAACAACGTGAGAAGCACCTGACACTGTCAATAAGCAGAATAATTGCTACTTCCACAAAAAGACAATTTTTTAAAAAAAGTTAAATATAATATCAGTTCAATACAAGGTAAAGAAAACAACTGCAACTGCCAAAAGGGCTAAAAAGACGGTGTGAAAAGATGTCTGTCAGGGAAGTCCCTCAAATGATGGCCACGCCCCTAGTAGGCTAAAGACCGCCCATTCTGGGTGAAAGAACTCAGACACGGCCAGGGGAGTTCCAGAAGGCTTCTATTCGACTCTCTTCGCTTTCCAGGAAGCAGATTAGAGACGTACTCGCTGGTTAAGGGCAACTAAATGATCCGAGATCCAGCCAGCTAGCATTGGCCGTGTCTCAGTCACGTGAGTACCTCGCCCACTTGTAGAGCCCACTACCTCCCGGCCTTTTCCCCCTGTCCGTTCTTCCGCCCTGCGCGCGTTCGGTGGTAGGTACAATTGCTGCGGTCGGTGGTCACGTGCTGTTCGTGTTCTGACGCGTGGCCCAGGGTTGTGGCTTTGCTTGCCGGGTTGCATCCCTGCAGCATCCCAAGCTGCGACTTAATGTCATTGCAGCTGAGTGGAACGCTGCATTTGGAGAATGCGATTCCTGGGTTGTGGAAGTGACGGGTTTGCGTGTTGCATTGTAGGCTAGCAAGATGTAAAAACACTCTTGGCCACCGCATGGGGGAAAAGAACATCTGGGCTCGAAAAGCTAGCCTTAAATTTCATTCCATGACTGACAACAAAGAAGATGGTACTTTTACTGGAAATAGTTGTGCGGTCCTGCAGGAACCGCTTAACTGTACTTTGCTATTTAAGTCATAACTCCCGTGTTCAGTCGCTTTCCAAACCAGCTGCTGTCAACCTGGGGCTTTCTGAACGAGGTAGATCTCAGTTCCATCGCTGCAACCTACACAGGGCCGGCTAGTTGTTCTCAAAGACAGCTTCTAGTCCACGGGTGTCAAACTCGCCGCGTCACGTGAGGTGTCATGACGTATTGCGATTTTTTTTTTTGCATTGCTGGCGCTGGGGTGGGCGCGGCCTCCGTATAATGCAACCGGCCCGCGCGAGCAGTTTGACACCTCTGTTCTAGTCCAATCCAAGCAGGAGACCCTATTTATTTATTATTAATTTATACTGTTTTAGACAAATGGCAGTCCAGTCTCTTTTAAAAAGCCTCTAGTGTTGGAGCATCCACAACTTCTGAAGGCAAGCTGTTCCACTGGTTAATTGTTCCTACTATTAGGAAATCTCTCCTAAGTTCTAGATTGCTTCTCTCTTTAATCAGTTTCCATCCATTGCTTCTTGTCTTGCCGGGAAAATAGGTTGACCCCTTCTTCTTTATGGCAGCCCCTCAAATATTGGAACATTGCTATCATGTCACCCCTAATTCTTCTTGTCATTAGACTAGACATACCTGATTCCTGTAACCGTTCTTCATATGTTTTAGCTTCCAGCCCCACCCAATCATCTTTGTCATTCTTTTCTGCACTCTTTCCAGAGTCTCAACATTTTTTTTATATTGTGTTATCAAAATTGGATGCAGTATTCCAAGTGTGGTTTTATCAAGGCACTATAAGGCGGTAGTATCACTTCTCATAATCTTGATCCTATCCCTCTGTTAATGCAGCCTAAGATTGCATTGGGTTTTTTGGTGGCTGCAACACACGGTTGACTCATTTAGAATAGAATAGAGCTGGAAGGGACCTTGGAGGTCTTCTAGGCCAGCCCCCTGTTCGAACAGGAGAACCTATATCATCTCAGACAGGTGGCTGTCCAGTCTCTTCTTAAAAATCTCCAGTGATGGAGCGCCCACGATTTCTGGGGGTAAGCTGTTCCATTGGTTGATTGTCCTCACTGCCAGGAAATTTCTCCTTAGTTCCAGCTTGCTTCTCTCTTCGATCAGTTTCCAACCATTGTTTCTTGTCCTTCCATCTGGTGCTTTGGTGAACAATTTGGGCCCTCTGCCTTGTGGCAGCCCCTCAGATACTGGAACACTGCTATCATGTCTCCCCTATTTCTTCTTTTCCTTAGACTAGCCAGACCCAAATCTTGTAGCCATTCTTTGTATGTTTTAGTCTCCAGGCTCTTGATCATCTTCATTGCTCTTCTTTGAATTTTTTCCAAACTCTCAACATCTTTTTTGTGGTATGGTGACCAAAATTGGCTTCAGTATTCTAGGTGTGGTCTTACTAGGGCTTTATAAAGCGGTAATAGTACTTCTCGTGATCTTGATTCTATGCCTCTGTTTATACAACCCAGGATTTTGTTGCTGCTGCACACTGCTGGCTCATAGTCAAGTGATCGTCCACTAGGACTCCAAGGTCCCTCTCACAGTTACTGTTTTTGAGCCAGGTCTTGCTCAATCTGTATATATGCCTTTGGTTTTTCCTACCTAAATGTAAGACTTTGCTTTTCTCTACACTGAATTTCATTTTGTTAGATAAGGTCCAGTGTTCAAGTCTCCTGAGATCCATCTGGATCTTGAGCCTATCTTCTGGCATGTTGGCTATTCTTGCAAGTTTGGTGTCATCTGCAAATTTGATGAGTTTTCTTTCTATTCCCTCATCTAAATCATTTATGAAGATATTCCCTCAGCTAAATCATTTATAAAGATGAAACACATTTAGCATTGCTTTTGTAAATATTGTAAACCACAGTATTGCTGAATGATACTGGGAGAAATGATATAGGGAGAAAACAGAATAGATCACAAAGATCACAAAAAAGATAATTTATTTTCTCCCCATATCATTTTTAGAGGTTTTAATGACTTCATTTAACATTTTAACATTTTATGTGCATATTAATAAAGATGTAATGTAAGGACCCACTTCAATCCCACATCTTAAGAAAGCAGAACTCTTGGAAACAATTTCTTCCAACAGGAACTTTTATTAAGAGTAGTTGATAGCAGGCATAATAGGATCTGATGGATTCTTTACAGATCGATACTTAAAGGGTCCCTAAGCAAACCCCACCCCACAGCTCATGCGGACGGTTCAGACCGGCCAATCCCCAGGTGTTAAGTCCATCGTGGGAAAGGGAAGATAACATCGGTCCGGCTCCATTTGTAGTACGATGTTCCACAGCTCTTCACGCTTCCTTTTGAGACTGGAGAAATAAGCCAGGTTCTGGATGTTTGTATTTCTCTCCCCCCCCCCTTTCCTAACTGCCAAGTTAAGGGGAAGAAAGTTCAGAGAGATGCATAGTGCAGGAGGCAATTTGTTACATTGTAATGGGCAGCAGACCCAGCGGCAATAAACAAAAGGTTACATTGTAGCGAATAGAGGAAGTGAAAGTCATAACCTCGCATGCATATCCCCCCTCCCCCTTGGGAGTATGGCAGAATCCAGGGGAAGGTGAGATTTGGTTTTAGATCAGAGGAGATAGATAGAAATGAAATATAAATGGATTCTGACAGATGTTTTAGCTTGCTTAAATGTAAGAGATAGATTGGAGAAATTACTTCCTGCATATACAAAAAACTGTAATGCAAATAAATTACTCCTTTGATGCCTGGGCATAGGGTGCAACATTTGTGCATTTTCATATGGGACATGAAATATGACACAACAGTGGCTAGCATTCCCAAAGAAATGTAAAGCAATGCACAGAGAATAGAATGGTGGAAAATCCTGAGGTTGGTACTAATGAGTCAAGCTGACATTATACATTCTTCCTTTGTACATTCTTACTTTAGAGACTGGAATAACATGGAATATTTCCATTGACTACTATTACAGTACAGTACTTTATTAGGAATGTAAGAGAGCTAGTTTGGTCTAATGGTTATGGCACCAGACTAGAAACTGTGAACCCTGCACTTGTGGGAAAATGCTAGGAAGAAAAAAAATCTGTATTAGAAATGTAATACTATAGTTAAGAGGCTCAGCTAAATTAAAAAACCCTGACTTGTATCTATCTCTGCCATGAATTTAATGGATAATCTTTGATATCCTCTTGTAGTTTTAACTCTTCAAAATGCTAAATACAGGTAGTCCTCAACTTACAAGTTTGTTTAGTGAACATTCCAAGTTACAGTGACACTGAAAAAAGTCATTTATGACTGTTTTTCACACCTGTTGCAGCATCTCCATGGTCATGTGATCAAAATTCAGCTGCTTGGCAACTGATTTCTATTTATGATGGTTGCAGTGTCCCAGGGTCATGTGATAACCTTTTCCAACTTTCTGGCAAACAAAGTCAATGGAGAAGTCAGATTAACAATGTACCACTAACAATTGCAGTGATTCACTTAATAACTATGGCAAGAAAGTTTGTAAAATGGGGCAAAATTCTTAACTGTCTCACTTAGCAACATAAATTGAGATCATAAGTCGAGGACCACATATATTATTAAAATGGGTAATATTTAATTGTGGCTATTATCTTTACAGTGCAGATGAAAACTGACTTTTCAAGTCAACTTTTGGTAGTGTTAGGAAGAATTTATGCAGAGTATAAAAAGATTTGGACATAATCTCAAAGTATGGATTAACAGGAATATTTTACTTAAATGTTATCTCAAAGACTCAGTGCCCTACCTTTGGTACATTAGAAATTAAATGTGGCAATATTTCCAAATCTGAATGGAATCAGAGTCCATTAGACTCAATAGTCAAAGAAATTGTCAGCTACCTGCATGTTGATGATAGTCGCTTTTACTCCATTTTTGGAAGAGATTTTATAATACATATTCTAAATAGTTGCAGAAGTAGAAATAGAGGAAGATTTTATTTCATATGCAGGAGCAATATATGTCTATCAATTATTATTATTATTTGTCAGTTATGTTTTGGAGATGTCAAAGGTTTGTGCCATTTTTGGTGGTTCTCGGGGAATTGGTCAGGCTGCCGCACAGCTCCTAGCACGGAAAGGATATTGCCTGGCTGTTATAGCAAGAAATCTGGACAGGGCTCAAGCTACTGTGGATAGATTAGGAGGTAAGTAAGTGTTGATATTTGTTTTTCACATATACAGTACCTTAGAAAGTATATGGAACTACTTAAATAGCACATTATCTAATAGAAATTTGCTAAATTGTTTTAAATTGAAGACACTTGTAAAGTCACTTTATTTTTTTTATGGGAAATAATTGTTGGATTAGTATTCTGCCATTTGATCAGGAGCTGAAGGCCTGGGTATATTTTAACAAAATACCGTATTTTCTGGTGTATAAGACGACTTTCTAAACCCTGAAAATCTTCTCAAAAGTCGGGGGTCGTCTTATACGCCCGGTCGTCTTATACACCGGAAAATACGGGTATTCTATTTTATTCCTTTATATAAGCTGAGGACGCAATGGGGGTGGCGGCCAGGAGCCGTTGCCTCCCGTCCTGCTCCCCTTCCCCACCTGTTCAGCTGAGGACGCGATGGGGGCGGCGGCCGGGAGCCGTTGCCTCCCNTCCACCAAATATGAAAATAAGTTGCATCTAAACTTCCACATCTCCAACATTTGGGCTGTAAATTAGGATACATACAGGACAATTTTTGAGGATCCAAATGCCACCTATAAAACATCTTATAAAAATTTTCTCTTAAATTTTGAGCTTGAGTAAATTTTACATTTCTAACCCAAATTATCTCCCATATTTCCAATGAAATTGATTCTTGAATATTTTGAGCCCATTTTACCATACAATCTTTAACTAATTCCGTTTCAGAATCCAATTCTATCAAAACATTATAAATTCTCTTTATGTGGGCTCGAGTTAGATCTTTAATTTGTTTTATCAAATTCACATCCTGCAAAGTAATACCAACTTTTTGATCTAAGCTCCACCTCATTAACAATTGATTATAATAAAACCAAGAATATACAATATTTTCTTCCTGCAAATCTGCTAAGGATTTAATTTGTCAATCCTTTCCTACCAGACTAAGTAATTCCTTATAAGAAATTCTATCCAAATTAACCCCTCTAGATACCCCCTCTATCATCTGTCCTGGAATCGCCCAAATGGGAATTTTATAATTTAATCTATAATAATATTTCTTCCAAACTCGTAACAAAGCACTTCTTAGAATATGGGCTTTAAAAACTTGATCCACTTTCTTATTATAAATTAAATATGCATGCCAACCAAATAATAGATCCCATCCCTCAAGGGAAAGTATATTTCTATTTGTTAAATTCAGCCAATCACTAATCCATGTTAAAACCACCACATCATAATACAGTTTTAAGTTCGGCGCTTTAAGACCTCCTCTTTCCCGTGCATCTTGTATAATCTTAAACTTAACTCTTGGTTTCTTCCCCGCCCATATAAACTTGTTAATCCCCTTCTGCCATTCTTCCAAATTAGCATCTTTTTTCAAAATAGGTATCATTTGAAACAAAAAAAAGAAACTTTGGAAGAATATTCATTTTCACTGCTGAGATTCTCCCCAGCAGAGATAACTATAATTTTTTCCAATCATTTAATTCCTTTTGCACTTTTACCCATAATGTCTCATAATTATTTTTGTACAATTTAGCATTAGAAGCTGTAATATAAACTCCCAAGTATTTTACCTTTCTCACTATTTCGAAACCTGTCAACTTAACTAATATATCTTTATCCTTCATAGACATATTTTTCGGTAATATTTTAGTCTTATTATTATTTACCTTAAAACCAGAAACTTTCCCATACTGAACTATAATTTCCACTAAGTCCTTTACCGAGTCTATCGGTTGAGTTAGTGTCAGCACCAAGTCATCAGCAAAAGCTCTTAACCTATAATCGTTCTTATTTACATTTATTCCCTTTATTATAGGTGATTCCCAAATTTTAATTAATAAAATCTCCATTGTTAAAACAAATAGCAATGGAGATAGTGGACATCCCTGCCTTGTACCCTTCTCAATTTTAAATGCCTCTGTTAACCCCCCGTTGACTATGACTTGTGCCGATTGTTGTTGGTAAATAGCCCTAAGAGCAAACAAATTTTTTTCCCCAAAATTCATTTTCTCTACGACTTGCAATAAAAACAGCCAGTCAAATTGGTCAAACGCTTTTTCAGCATCCAAAAATATAAAAGTCGCAGGGATTTGATTATTCTGATCCAAATATTCAATTAAATTAACAATTTGTCTTACATTATACTTCATATATCTTCCAGTTATAAATCCAGATTGATCACTATGAATCAATTGCCTCAAAACTTGCATTAATCTATTTGCCAATATTTTTGAAAAAATCTTATAGTCTATATTCAATAAAGATATAGGTCTATAATTCTTGGGCTGGGTCAAATCCTGACCCTCCTTTGGGATCAGCGATATGAAAGCCCTTCTCCAAGATGGAGGTACGTCTGCACCCAACAAAATACTATTAAACAGTTCCTTTAATGGCTCTATCATTTCATCAGATAACATCTTATAATAAATTGCTGTTAATCCATCTGTACCGGGAGCCTTACCAACCTTTAATTGCTTGATTGCTCCAATAATTTCCTCAGAAGTAATCAAGCAATTCATCTCCTCCTTTTGATTATTTGATAATCTAGGGCTACCCGAACCGAATCCGACCGAGCACAAGCAAGGATGCATGTTAGATCCTACCTAGTGGCAATGAGGGTGGCGAGGTCTAATTACTACTCCACCCTCATTGCGTCATCAGATAATCGCCCGGCCACCCTCTTCAGGGTGACCCGCTCTCTCCTTCAGTTGAGGGGGGGGACCCCCTGGTGGGGAGGGCTGAGGATTTTGCTCAATATCTGTATGACAAAGTCGCTTGGATTCGAGAGGGTTTAGACTCTGACTGGGTGGCCCCGGGGGAGGAGACGGGAGCAGGTCTTGAGACTATTATATGGGAGGAGTTTGACTCTGTGGCTCCCGAGGACGTGGACAGGATCCTGGGGAGGCTGAAT